ACAGAAGTTTCCAGACCTGGTCTGCAACAAGGCAAACTCCTCCAACAGCACCTGACAGCCATGAAAGGCAGTGCTGAAGCGCTGAAAATGGTTTGATGTGTATATCTTGATGTTAATGCTGATTGACGTCCATTTCAGGGACCCCTCCTGTGATATCCGGAAGTCTGGATTCCTGTTCACTGCCTGTTGACTGCGCTTCGGTCCGCTTTCTTGTTCAGACCGTGCGTTCGGGCTACGTACGGTGTCTTTGCTCCCCACTGCTCACCACGCGGCAGACGACAGCCGTCACGTGACAGGAAGTGACACAACCCTCGCGAACCCTCGCGAACGGGTGCCTGACCTGTCCCTGCTTTGATGGTGCCCGGGGAAACTGACGCGGCGTCCGCTTGGGATGCCTCAAAGAAGGGTACAAAATGGTACAAATGAGCACATGTTGAAAAAGCGAAGGAAGTGAATCCCGCTGTCGCTTTGAAACTTGAGAGCATGGCAACCACTCCCCACGCTTTGCCGGCTTGGTTTGTAGCGAAGACAATATCCACACCTTGCAGACAAGAACAAGAAAAACCACCAGGGCACAGCATGGCTCCACAGCTGCATGCACTACGCGGATTTCAATAAAGCTCCGCCATGTGCAAACCTTGCCTTGAGTGTCGGGATTTTGTGCGACTGGTACCTCGAGAATACTTGTCATGGGACGGTACAGCCTTTGGTGTCATGTGAATACAAGAAGTACAAGCTCAGCTGCCAGCCGTGTAAAAGCTGTTGGATGCAGGAACCTTGCTCCATGAAGTGAGAACAACTTGTAATAATGCCCTTGCTACTAGTAGCAATGCACTTGTAGCTAGAGTCAGGAATTTATGGATACATTTTTTTAAAAAAATAGTGTTTGCTTCAAATCTGAGATCCACACGGTCAAGGAAACCGGAGATGCCAAAGTCCCAGCATTTCCAGAAGATTCCACGTAAACCACCAAGTTGTACCTTGGAATGGACGTGCACTCCACGTACCGCTGAAAGATCCTATAATGATTCATGGCACTCGAGCTGCACATGTGCGCCTCCAAAACTGTTCACAGATTCAAAAGGCCAGAAGTAAAAGTCTCCGGCTGTACATTCCAGTTCAAAAAAATGCTGTTACCATCTGTTGCCTAAAGGCAGTGTCTTTACACAGGTACAACTTACAAGAATGTCCGACGCTTTACTTTTGAGGTGGGCATTCCAACACCCCTTCGCACCCGTGCCTTCCTTTATGCACCCAACGGTGCCTTCCGTACCAGCCTCTACATCCTCACGCTCCAGGGCCCCCAGGCTCGACTCCACGCTCCAAAGCGCAGCCTCCCACCGCAGTTCAGTCGCCGGGTCGAGGAGCGATTCGGAGGACATCGAAAGTATAGATCGAGTTTAAGGAACATCAGTGCTTCTCAGTGAGTTAAAACACTTGAAGGTGAAGGTGGCGCCTGTGATGCTGACGGACTGAGCCCCAACAGTGATGGCCTTGAAATTCAAGACTTTGAAGGCCAATGTTCATCTGAATTCACTCTTACTCAGGTGGAGACTTAACGTCACCCAGAGTTTACCGCAACTAATTTGATCACTGATGGATTCCTACCAGAGACCCTTAGCACACCGCCAACAGTTTCGGTTTGCAAGCATCGCCGTTTTACTGGTGAATTGGACTTGCAAAGTTCCTGAAACGAAGCGCCAACATCTGCGTCCATTTCCACCCACTTCGACCAAGCTGCGTCTCCAGAAACACCGCAAATCATTCCGGTCCCTACCTTGGCAGCGGAACGAAGAAAAGAACCAACGATGACAGGGTGCCAAGTATGCCACGTTTGATGACAGGGTGGCATGAAAGCTAGGAGATGCCACAAGGTAACGATAGTGATGATGACGATGATGATGAGTGTGATAATGATACCATGGTCAATGGTCTTAATGCCAAGATAAAGTAGATGTGATAATTTCGAGATTTACCTGTGGGGCACTCAAGTACACTGCTCTTGCAGGCACTTTTGTACGTAGGACAGCGTTGCGGGACACTTTTGTGAGACACCCTTGTAGGCATTCCTGTGGAGCATTGTGGAGGGGCACACTTGTGGGGCACTCTTGTAAGACACCCTTGCTTGACATGTGTGAGACAGCTGTGAGGACATTGTAATTAGGGCAGTCTTGTGGGAGACTCTTGTGAGACATTCTTGAAGGACAATCTCCTCGCAAACCCTAGTAACAAGAAGCTACTAGTAGCTCCTGGCATCGCTACTAGGAGCGATCGGACGCTACGATCGGGGCTCCTGGCCTTACTAGGAGCTAAGTAGCTAATAGGAGCAAGAAGCTACTAGTAACAAGTGCATCGCTTCTAGTAACAAGTGCCTTACTAGTAGTAACAAGAAGCTACTAGGAACAAGTGCCACGCTACTAGGAGCAAGAAGCTACTCATCCCTCTCACCAGCGGCACGCCGACGGTTTGCATGACATCACGTCGTCATGGGCCACAGCGGCAAGGCGCTACAACCCTAAGCGACGGTTTGATCCCCTGAGCCCGAGCTCCCACAAGCGACTTCCCGCACTGCAGCACTGCAAAGTTGCCGGTTGAGAGGCGGCCTTTGGCAACTTCCACCTTCAATTTCGACTGCTGGTATACACTACTTGACAACTTCCACCTTGATTTTCGATGAGACAGTCACGCGTGTGACGCACTTCCAACATCCACCTTCACTTTCGATGCTCCAGTTGCACACGACAGTTGCACACGCACGATCTCCGCAACAGGTTCACCCACGTGAACGTTTTGCCTCGCACTTCGCCTCACGGGCTTGAGCACTCGATCTCTCTGAAAGGGTTAAGCACAACGTACTTGGCCTTGCTCAGTGGATCTTTGTTTTTGCATGGGAGATTGTGTGGAATATCAGGCTTTGAAACGAGAAATGAACAAGTCAACGACATTAGGCATTTGCTTTGTCAGACTTCATTGATACACCCCCCTGTGACCATCATTGCACGTGAGTGATGATTGTGATGGTCCTGGTGATGATTGTGATTATGATGGTCGGACCGTTGAAGTTGGTTGCCGCACTTTACGGAGAACCCCTGAGAAGCAGGTGCTTTCGGGAATTACATGATGTCAAGATTTGTTTGGGGAAAGCATCAGAATGCACTCAACCTTGTGAATTGAAATCCAGAAAGAGGGCTCACAGCTCACACTGCCTTAAATGTCCGCTTCTGAACTAAATTACCCAGCGCTTGTAGAAACAGGCAAGACAAACACTCTTTGATACAAGAAACAACTAGCAATGAAAGAAAACAAAAGACAGAGGCAAGATGTCTTTATACGAAAAGCTTCCATTGTGCTATTGCTTCCATTGGGATTTTGGTTAGGAGTCTTCGCTGCTTCTCCAGAACTGGCTTCGCCGCTCACCTTGACGGAGATCAGGTCCAGCGCGCTGGCGGCCGCAGGCGTTCCCACTGATGCCCACACGAGGCCTGGCAACGATTGCGGTTCAGAGTATGTTGTGATGACTAGTAGCTAGAAGCTACTAGTAAGGCACCTTGCTTCTAGTAGTAAGAAGCACTGACATGTTTCACTTTATGGGTCCACCTCAAAAGTACTAAGATCCTGCACCAGATTAGAGAGCTATTAGGTTGGAGGCGATCGCTCTTAGGTTGGAGGCCATTGTGCTATTCATAGTTGGGATGGCAACATCAGCAGCGTCATCCTGCCTTGGATGGCACCAAGGTCGTGCGCCACGTCAAAGGTGAAGGCCACTGCAGTCTGTGTGGGCCTTGAAAGCGCTGTCAACGAGCATCTTCGGTTGTTCCCGAAGAAGAAGCCCAAAGAGAAGAAGTGGATGGACAAGAAAAACAGTAGGAGCAAAGAAGCTACTAGGGGCTCCTGGCCGTACTAGGAGCAAGTAGCTACTAGTAACAAGAAGCTACTAGTAAGAAGAAGCTACTAGTAACAAAGGGCATCGCTACGAACGGAGCAAAGAAGCTAGAGCGCTTCTTACTTGCTCGGGAATCACCACTCCACACTGAATGGTTTCGTAAATGTGTGAACTTGCGAAATTCACAGCTCCTCAGCTTCAAACACTCCTGAGACGGTGGGAGCAGTCACAAAGGTGGAAGAGCCAGGCACCTGAGGCTGATCAAGAATCTATCTCGCTACTAGTAGCGTCCCCTTGCTCCTGGTAGTAAGGCCAGTAGCGTCCGATCGCTCCGTTCGTAGCGATGCCCTTTGTTACCTTCGTAGCTTCTTGACATGAATCATCGTTTTTTTCTCCTACTTACTATAGTTGTTTTGTCCCGTTTCTGCAGACCTCTCTTCCTTCGAAAAATCGAAGTGAAGAAATCTCTCTGGAGACCTCATGGAACTCAGGAGACGTCTTCATGTTGACGTCTACGATTCGCTTCAAGGAGTCGCCTCCTTCGCTACGAACGGAGCGTTCGGACGCGACTACGACCGCAGGTCGGCGCTCGATCTGAGGAATCGCACGTAGACGTCGATAGCTGAAGACAGCATTCCATCACCCATACCATTGGAGTCTTCCACATAGACCTTAGCAGCTCCAGCTATGCCCTCTAGACTGCCCTCTAGACAGCCCTCTAGGCAGCTCCAGAGCATTTTGGATGAAAATATTTACCTAGAGCTCCTCTGCATCCATCCGAGCTTCTTGCGAAGAGCTTCAACATCGTGCTGTACGGCCTCGCCCAAACAACTCTGCTTCGTCTGTGAATCGTGCAGGCTACTTGGGACTGTCGCAACTGAGAACAATATGCATTTAGCAGAACAATTTGTATGTTGTTTTAGCTCTTTTCCTGACTCAAGCCTAATTGAACGCTGTCTGGACTGATGCCAGACCACTGGACACATCTGCTGCGTTGCTCGCGCAAGTGTCGACTAATGCTTTCCCAAGGAAAGCGTCTCCGTATCCCCTAAGGTCGTGTCACTTGGCATTTCCCTGCAGTATGCAAATACACTGAATATGATATCAGTTGTTGCGTCTGACCATCTAACTTGCAGGGCTACGCCGGCTACGCAAGAGAACTACATAAACATCCGGCACTTGTCGGACGGTTCTCACAGTTCCATTGTTCTGTGAAGCTCTCGGAGCTGTAGGAGCTGTCGGAGCTTTCTCCGTCAGATCTCGTCGCTCTCTTCCTTTTCATCTTCAGCATCCTCGCAGACGAGTTGAAGGTGACACTTCCCGGACGAGAAAAAAAAGGAAACAAACACATTGTCTGGGGAGATCTTGAACATCTTGAAGGCGGAAGGTGAAGCTTTACGAATACTCACCGGTTGTTACTACTAACTACTAGAGCTACTGCTACTTCTTCTGCGCCAACTACTTGCTGTCCTTACCGTCCTTACTTGTTGCCTTAAGCGAACCTCCGATGTGTCCGCAAAAAATCGGGCGGTCTGGAGTCTGGAGCACCAAATACTTCCAGTAACACTTACTTACGCAAGAAAGAAAGTGAGGTGTAGGTCCAAATCCAAAACAATCAGAGAAGAAAGAAACTATCGTGTTCTTTTAAACACAAGAGTCTCTTTGAGAAAAGGAATGTTCTCGTCTTGGTCTCCTCCAAGGCAGAGAACTTCTCAAACAGAGTTGGCAGCTCCTCTCATCGACGAAAGAACTTCTGCTCTCGCGGACACACTCTCGCCACACGGACAGTGCTGGACAAAGGTCCTGTCTGTTGATCAATCCGTCTCCGTCCACATCGCACTCCTCAAGTTGACAGCATGACTAGACCAAAAAGACCGTCTCTGTTGAAAGATCTAGAACTCTGCAGCAACAACAGTGTTGTACTGCAAAAGAATTGTGGTTCAAAACAGAATACAAACGGTCTGAAGAAAGAAACAATTATATCAGTCAGTCTTTAAAAAAGAAAGGAATTAAGTAACTAAAAGGAAAGTACTTCATTCAGCTGTAGGGGGGAACTTAAGTTTTCGTACAACTCTAGGAATCAAATGAATAGTGTGAACTATCCTGCGTCCATGCTAGTAGCGCACTAGTAAGGTACTAGCTCCTCTCCCTTACTTCATTAAGTAGGTAGTTTCTACTTAATTAAGTAGGGAGGGGGGAAGTAGGGAGGGCTTCTCAAAAAAGGAATAGAGGAAGGTCTGAAGGTCCAAGAAGGTCCTTCCTTGGATGCACTTGTCTCCGTCCTTGTAGGTTGCCTTGTAACTCTGCTTGATGTCTTCAGGCCAGTCATCTTCACCCCCCTCTTCACCTCTAAAAAACACGACGAACACGACGAGTCCACGTCCTTTCCGATGAATCGAACACAGTTGGCAACTTGCTGTCGACCATGAAATTCTAATTGTTGTTTCTAATAGCTTTTTGTTACTATATAGTAAGGCACTTGTTACTAATAGCTTCTTGTTACTAGTAGCGTGGCACTTGTTACTAGTCGTAAACTGGCCTCCAAACATTTCTTCCCAGGAGATCTTACCATCCTGGGAACGGTCTCTCTTCCCAGTCGAGTGCCGACAGGGGAGGCTGGAGAAAAAGCTTGGGTATGAACGAAGCACCTGTGAAGAGAGGCCAGGGATGAGGGAAAAAACACAAATCCAATGCACTTGCTACTAGTAGTCTCTTGCTATAGTAATGCACTTGTTCTTAGTCGCGATGCCCAAAGGCTACTACCAGTATATTACTTGCGCCCAACAGAAGCCGCTCTGGCCTTGTTGGTGTCCATCTCAGTCATGAGCTCATCAAAGTCTGGCGTCTCACCTGTCAATACCGTCTCCGGCCGTGACTGTCTCGTCTCACGCTCGCTGCGATGTCTCAAAAAACGATTCGGTGGTGAACACATCGAAAGCACACGCATCACATCCCGGTGGCCTGCATCGTCCTGGCAACATGCGTTTTTCGGCTGCAAAAGCACGGTCGCGTGGCGTAGAAATGTCTCGTGGAAGAGTGGGGACCCTTGACGTAGAAAGCTTCCTGTTACTAAGAATGCTCCGTTCGAGTCGCGATGCCAGCCCCGAACGTAGCGTCCGAAGGCGTAGTAAGGCCAGGAGCTACTAGTAGTTTCTTGTTGCTTGTAATGGCCTCCACCCTGGTAGCTATGGCCTCCACCTAGTAGCTTCTTGTTACTAGTAGCGATCAAAGACATACTAGAAAGCTCCGGCCTCTTGACCATGAACCGCTGCCAGAGAAAGGAACAACGAAAGCGCCCTGAGTTGAAAAAGATCGATGCACAATCGTTCTGTGCAGCTTGTGTTGGAAGCCTTCTATCAAGAGGACGTTCAAGAAAGGAAGATGAAGACACACAAAAAACTTGCGAAACACAAAAACAAAAGAACCCCCCAAGGAAAATCTGTTCAAGCCATTCTTGTGACGATTCTGTGCAGTCTTGCAAGGCTGTTTGAACCGGATGAATGAATAGATTGAAATAGGTCGCACTCCCAAAATACTTGCAGTACTCGCACACTAAGCTTACCCTGAATACGCGAGCTGAGAGGAACTGCAGCCAAGGAACCTCAAGAGCTTCATCTGACCGACAGACTGACCGAAACGATGGTTTTACAGCGTCTTTCGTTGACGTTTTCGGGTCTAAAGCTTCGAGAACATCCTTTTTGTTCGCTTCTGCTTGGTTGGAGGCCTGCTTGCTAGTAGGTTGGAATGCTTCTTTTCTCTTTTTTTTAGTTCTGTGCAATTTTTGGAGGAGTACCGGGCAGGCCGTGAAGGGGGTCAGCAGGGGCAGGCGGAAGTAGTGAATTCAGGTAGCTTATGGCTCCTTTTCATTGTTCTTTCCCTTTCTTCTTTCATCCTGTGTGTTTTTCTGGTGTCTTTAGACCTGTCTACCTGCTCTTATCTTTCTTTCTTCCTTTTCTTCCCTTCCTAATTTTGTTATGCTTTCTTTCTTTATTTGTTTTTGCTCGTAGGTTGCTAGAACATGCAAGAAGTTCATCCCGATGGCGAAGCTGCTTCCTTGGAAGTTCACCCTCGCTGTATGAAACTGTTTGTAAATCTAAGTGTGCAACCAAGCGTTGATATCAAATCCAACCTAATAGCGCTGGCCTCCAACCTACTTGCGATGGCCTCCAACTTACTAGCGTTGATATCAAATCCAAGAAAAAGGAAAGTATCCAAATCTGCCAACCATCACATTCCACCCGACATCTCGTGCTGTGCCTTCTCTGGAGCAGTCTAAGAATTGGGAACTCTGAGCCTTCTCGGGAATTTGAGCCCAGATCAGCCGCCATGAAGAAACATCACATACTGCTTCAAAGATCTTCAAAGCCAAGAAGGACATGAAAATTCGTGTGTTTCACGCCAGTGTGAGTGTGTTTCAAGAAGGACATGAAGCACTCAGTTGCGAGCATCGAACATCCATTGAACATCAACTCCATCGGGCCATCTTTAATGACCTCCACGGTGACGTGTCGAAGGCCGTTCGACCGTTCTTCCCAGGTCACCCACTGTGAAGAATGCAGTGACGGACTGCCATGCGGAGTCTGCACTGATTTGAACCAAACGTTCCCAACACGCTTCAAACCAAACCCGCCAGTAGGTTGGATCGCTCTCGCTAGCAGCTTGGATGGCTATCGCCGATCGACATCGACGTCCCGAGCTTCGCGTTCGCCTCTCCAAGCTTTCGGCAGCTCAAGGCGCCGTACCTGAGGCACGCGGCCGGGCGGCCCACGGTACGACCCGGGCGGTCAAACGAAAGATGTACAACATGAAGGGCGGCACGCCCACATCTGTCCAGACTTTGCAGTAGCCACCTCAAAGAGTCGAACATGAAGAAGAAGAGTAAGGAGCTGAGTAACTCCTCGTTTCTCCCAACGCAAGGGATGCACAGTAACTCTCTTGGCTCAGAACCGTGACCAGCGGTGCATTGGCCTCGCACGGTCGGGGAGCCCCGTTCGTAGCGTCCGATCGTTACGAAAAAAGGAAGGAGGGGCTATAGTACTGCTATTAGGTTGGCCGTCGCTACTAGGGTGGAAAGATGTGGAAAGGAAAGAAGGAAAACCTAAATTGTTGAAAAGCTTTCTTGCTCCATCTTGCTCGAGGCAATCCAAATGTAAGGCTTTCTAAGCGCTTTCGTAAAACCAATCATGTGCATCATGTGAAGGAAAGGCCTTCGAATCCGTTCTTAATCACAGAGTCCCATCATGCGATCAAAGTGTCAGGCACTCTGCGGCATTTCACCCTCAGACTCACGCCTCGCTCACCACATAGGCCCACAAATGTCCGCTTTTGGTGGTCTGGCACAGCACACAGGGCTCGGCACTGTCATTGCTTATCTGGTATCTTCCGAGTTGAGGCATGAACACTCTCACTCTCATTTCTTGCCATTTCAATGTCTGTTTATCCACGGTCCATGTCTCAGTTTCCCTTCGCCGTTCCATCAAAGGCCACCTCGACAGACACATTGAAGCCTAAGTGTCTCAATGGATTTGCACCATGCATGGTGTCATATCTGCAAAAAGCCCTGGGCACTCACTTCTGAATGCAAGCCGATGCCCACATCGAGTGGAGCCCATCTCTATAGTACGGTAAGTAATTACCGTAGTTTTCCTTGCTACTAGGTTCCTTTTATCTCAGATAGCCTCTATCGATGGCGTTCAGGGTCCGACTATCTGTGGAGATCGGGCTGGAGAGCGACGGCATCACGACAAAGGCATTGGAGGTGGGACTCCGGAACGGTGCAGCTGCCAAGGCACCTCAGGTACTCGGCGCCACCAGCCAGGTCGTCCAAGCCACTGAGACAACGCGCACCCGAAGCGGACGGCTCAACCCCTGCGCGTCGTTGGTTTATCCTGTCTTCAACCTAGAAGCGATGGCCTCCAACCTACTAGTGATGGCCTCCAAACCTAAAAGCGTCGTTTTTTCCAATCCTGGTTGTCTTCATCCGTGTTCCATCCCTTTTTTCCCTCGCACACCCGCGGTGGTCACCAAGGTGATCGTGCTTCATTTCCGCTTGACTTCTTCTCCTAATTGTCGATGAGCGCCGCCAAGGCCTTCCGGTTAAACTCGGACTCTTCCTTCTGCTGCGCCGACCGTGCCCGGTTGAGGTCCGGGTGGCTCTGCTCCGTGGGAGGTGCCACGTCACTCCTGCAGGTTACCATGAGGGGGCCACGGTTTCTCAATGACACCAAGACCAGCCAAGTAACATTACTCTGTTGGAATGTGAAGTGGACCACGATGGTAACCTGTCACCTGTTCGATTCGAGACGGACAACCGATCCGTCGCGTTCGTTGAACGTCGACCCCGCTCCTCAGCTGTTGAAACTCCTTCCTGTCAATCCGTCGCCTCAAAGTCTCAACGCTTTCGTCTGGGGAGAAGACGATGACCTGCGACAGACGGGAATCGAACGGTTCGAGCTACGTTCGCTTCCGCCATGCGAGCGCGAACGGTTCGTCGCGATGCCCCTTGGTTCCGTTCGTAGCGAACCTTGTTACCAGTAAGGCCAGGAGCTACTTCAAAACGGTTCAAGGACGTCTGGCCGGAGAGATGGCTCAAAACCGTTCAAATCTCAGAAAGGACTTGTCCTGTCTAACAGTCTAAGACCGTTCTTGTCTAAGACCTTTGACTGGAGAGCTCCACTGGACGTTTCAACTCCAGGGTGTCCATCTGCGCCTCCCAGAGTTGAGAGTCGGGCTTCCATTGCACTCTGCGGCCGCCATCATGATGAGTCGGGTCAGTGGAATGAGTCGGGTCGAGATAGTTCACCACCAGGACCTTCTCATTGAGATGTGCTCCATGAAGCCTCTCCACCGCCTTGTCAGCATCTAACTTTGAGGGTAGCAAAACAAATGCGGTGCCGCAAGACTTCTTGCGCTTGCTTTCACGTGGCAAGGTGACTTTCTTGGGTTGCAGGCCGATGTCAACCAAGAGCTGTGACACGTCCTCTTCGGTGGAATTCTCTGACAAGCGTGAAACTGTAATGGTGCATCCAGCTGAGTCATCATCTTGGTGTTTCTGTTGAGAGTTGCTCAACAGTCGGCGTATGCATGCCAATGCTTCCGGACTCGGTTGGTGCAGCACATCTGGATGTTGTTGCAAGAGCTCATGGAGTTGAGGTCGCTCCAGCAACACTTTGACGATGCGAGGATCCAGCGACTGAAGATCCCTGGGAATGAACTCTGGACGAGCAGCCGGCAACGTCTGCAAGGGAGGCGTTCGAGGCTGAGCACCGTGAGATGTTGGCTGCGCAGTCTGATACACTGGCACATCAGGCTGAGCTAGGTCGAAATCCTCAGCTCGAAGCCTCTTGGCCGGGCGCCTCACTTCTTGCTGAATGAATCCAGCAGCCTTCCAGCGATCCAGCAACGCAGTGGCTTCGGCGCGATTCTTCGGATCATCTTCCTTCTGAATGGCTTCCACAATTTCGATGAGATGGCCCTTCTGAAGATCTTGCAAAGTGACCGGCAATTTTTGCAAAACCACCAAACAGGCATAGCGAGCAGTTTGGCTCTGCTTCAGCCATCTTGTCAATGGTTCTAGTCCTCCATTCTGGATGAAGGACAGCATCGAGTGCTTGGCGGACTTATCTAAGGCTGACAGCAAACCCATCCGCATCTGTTCTGATCCGCAGCTGCGCATGGCACTGGCCAGCGTCTTACCATCCTCTGGGCCTGACATCCTTACCATCTCCACACGCGGCGCGGGCGGCGCGGCCTCACGAACCTCCGGACTTCGACCAGGACCGGCACCACCGGCAGTCTGCGTCCCTTCACGAGGAACCGGTCGCTGCCTCTCCTCCCTCCCGGCGTCCTCTTTCTCCTTGCGAAACTGATGTCGCCACTTATGAATGAGCTGGCGCGCCTTCATGGCCGTGTCAGCCTGGGGAAAGCGCTTCGCAAAGGCATTGATCACCTTCGGAAGGTTCTGTTCGGCCAGCATCGCCGTGGTGATCGGCAGCTTTTCCAAGCGGTTGAGCCATCCTTGGACGTCCTCCGATTTGGCCTCTTGAAAGAGTTGGGCCCAAAGTCCCACTTCTTGGTCCACCGGTAAGCACTCCAAATTCGCCACCTGAACAGATTTCACTTCCTTACTCTGCCACAGCTCCACTTCATAGCGTTGCTTCTCGGTCACAAAGCGTTTCACAACGACCACTTGACCATTCAGCTGCCTGGCCTGTGTGAGACCGACCAGGCGCATAGGTAGGTCTACCATTTCAGGCCCATCTGGCTCATCATCCAGGAGAATGGTCGCCCGGGCCATCACGCCGAGCAGCGCCGCTTGCTTTGGCCGCGTCGCGTGCCGCGGGAGGGTGTGGCGATCTCCATGGGCAGAGCTGTCGGCTGTACTTTCCGTGTTCAGAGATGTGTACGTTCCAAAGAAATCTGCTCAGAACCTTCGGGGATGCTGTGCAAGCTGGAAATCGATCCATGAAAAGCTTTACGAGCCCTTGTCAGCACTGGTCATGACCTGAGGAATAGAAGTGACCTTAGTGGCTCAAAGGTATATACTATTGGTTCGCATGATACCTTTTTCTTAGGCTGCTTGCAGAGCAAAGGCCTCGAATCTCAGCATGCATAAAACAATGTGATGTCGACCAGTAGAGAAACTTCTTTGTTTTCAAAGTCAATGATTGGCAAGAACAGCGAAGATGCTGGGAAGCCACCATCGTCATGCATGCCAACATCGGCCACATAGACCTCATACGGAACCAAAGAGCTCGCTTCGAACCAAGCTGCCTAGCTCTTTCTTGTGCTGTCAAAGGGGCCATTACTGCGTAGTCCATGGAGAAGGCCAACGAGCAGTTGTCCATGTTGACCCTGGGATGTTTCGGCAAAAGCAGGGCGAAAGCACCGCCAACACCGTTTCTGGAGCAGCTGTTGTATTCCTGTTAGACAGCGCAACACAATGTGCAAATCAGGTTGTGAGGAATTCCAGACCTGAGGGAAGGTCTTCTGAAAAGAAAACTAGCTTGTCATCTAATGTCCAATATTTTCTGTCTTGATTCACAGCAAACTGCGCGAGTCGTGAGTCTCTTGCAGAGTCGTGTGAGATAAGAGACTAATCCAATCTTGCGGTCTCGGCTTCCAAGTGCTCTGGGCTCACACTGAGTCTCTGGCTCTGTCCTTGGGCACAACGGTCACTGTCAACGGTCGCTGCGAACGGATGGCTTCCTGCAGTCCGAGAAGCGGAGTGTTGTCGATGGTCATCTCCAGCTGGCAAAGGGAGCCGCCCAGTGCACCAGTTCCGGCCCTCAGCTCCGACTGTTCAACTAACTGGGTCCAGAACTACCACTCAAAAGTTGAGGTCTGTTCATGACAGAAGCAGCCGTGGCTGAACCTGAGAGTCGCGGTGGCTGAACATGGCTGAACAGTCTTTGTCAAGATGGGTTGGATCCTTGCGTCTCCAAAAACTGAGCGTCTTTGAGCAATCACTGAGGGCGAGGCCCACGTCGCCCGCCGACAAAATGAGAATCCAAGCAGTTCCCACCAGATTGGAGGCTGTGAAGGACAAGGTCACCATGCTTTCCGTGGCGTTGGCCACGATGGGGAAGTCGATGAAGCCATTCGAGATGCCTCTTCTTCTCAGGGCAAAGAGAACAATCATGTCACAAGGGTCTGAAGAGACAAAAAGAACAAAAAACATCAAAAAACTCAAAAAAAAGAAGATGGCTTGGTCGCCCTTTTGATCTTTGAGTTGGCCCTGCGGCCCGGTTTCCCCGCTTTTTTGTGAACTTCCGCCGTCCGCCGCGGCCGCCGCCGTACGAGCCGAGCGTCCGACGGGACATCGGTAACGAGGCTTAAAAACCCATGGACGTTGCGTCTCCAACCTAGTAGCGTCCTCTTGCTACTAGTAGCAGGGCCAGGAGCCCCTAGTAGCGTTCTTGTTACTACTAGTAAGGCACTTGTTACTAGAAGCGATGCACTTGTTACTAGTAGCTTCTTGCTCCTAGTGAGTAGCGATGCCTTGAGCCCCTAGTAGCGTCGTAAGGCTTCAAGATTCTTATACAAGTACCTTCGAATGTGGACGCATGTGGGACGAATGTCTCCATGGCCAGACGCTTAAACCGTCGCACTCGACCTAAAACCTTCGCCTGGACCTGAAACCAAGCCCATGTGGTGCTACCAAGCTAATAACAATGGCCTCCGACCGAATAGCCTTCTAGCGATGGCCTTCATCCGTTCGTAGCGAGGTGCTCCCCAAAAACCCGCTACCCACTCTCCTGGCCTGGTGGTGTTTGGATTGGAACGAAGTAGAGAGTTCCATCGGTTCGATTGTTCGTATCCTTCGCAGGGTCATTGGCAGTCTTCCCAAAGAGGGACACCAAGCAAGGTGGCCAACAAGAAGAAGAGCAACCCTGTTCTTCCAACATGTCTCCAAATCTGTTCAGTTCTGTCCTCCACATAGGTCACCAATTGGTAGTTGGTGCCATGTCGCAATTGGCAATCCTGCAAGGTCACCGGAACCTGCGGAGAGAAGCCGGGAGAGAAGCAGGAAAGCTTCGAAGGTTGGCCGCGGAGCGCGCGGCCTGACTGAGGGTCACCACAGGAGTTCCACCCACCGTGCTTTGACCATCAATTCGGCACGTGGTGCCTCAGCCAGGCACCGGGTGGATCGCAGTAGACCAAATGGGTCTGGTCAAACCATTGTAAGCATTGAATTCCAGACCCGGCCAGGCCAGGGTTGTCATGTTTGTTCGTCAATCTGCTTGGGAATTGCTAAAGTTCATAGATTCATAGATGATGTTCGTCTCCCAAGTTTAAATCAGTCTACAATCTCTTGATGACAATTCGAGCTGCTTTCAAGAATTCAAGGCCCAGGAGGAAAAGGGAAGACTTGGGGAACAGGTTCTATACGAATCGACAAAGAAGATATGATACGGAAACGAGTGGTATGACGCATACAAAGCTGCTTGAGGTTGACTGAAGCCTCCGTGATCTGACTTCTTTGATGCAAAGGACTTAAAAAACGTTTAGGAAAAAAAAAGTCACCAAAATGGCCCCTGTTTCAAGACCCCATTGCATTCTTATACGGGTTGGAGGCCATCGCCTTTGTAGGTTGGACCGTCGCTCCACCAAGCTTCCGGCCACCCAAAGCACCCGTGAGGATCTTCACCGATGTGCGCGTCAACAGCGCCGCTTGCAACTCTGTGACCACCTGGCCACTTCATCAGGTGGGGGCTACGGTTTAGTAAGGGTCGCAGCTAGTAAGCCAATCCCTTCTGACTCTTACACACTGAAGCTGCTGGCTACACAAAGATTTGGTTTAGATATTTTAAGTGGCTAAAAAAAAAGGCTAAGGAAATGAAAATGGTCCTCGGACTATCCCAAACGGCCTTCTTGAGTGGATTGACTGAACCCTAAAGCAATGCGAATGCTGCAGCACTGTGTCAACGTTCGAAGGTGTCCCTTGGAACGGCAACGTTCTGCCGGCTTGGCCATGGCCCAAAAGTTGCCGGTGACGGTGGCTGTAGCACCCTGGTCCATCGCCTCTCGTCCGAGTCGCACGTACGGTGGCGTCTCCCCGTTCGTAGCGTCCTTGTTACTACTAGTAACAAGTGCCACGCTAGTAGTAACAGGTGCCTTACTAGTAGTAACAAAGAAGCTATTAGAATTAATTTAAAGTAATTTTAATAGTTTCTTGTTACTACTAGTAAGGCACTTGTTACTACTAGCGTGGCACTTGTTCCTAGTAGTAGGGCCAGGAGCCCCTAGTAGCTTCTTGCTCCTAGTAGCGTGGCACTTGTTCCTAGTAGCGTCCTTGTTACTACTAGTAAGGCACTTGTTACTAGAAGCGATGCACTTGTTCCTAGTAGCGTCCTTGCTCCTAGTAGCGTGGCCCTTTGCTCCTAGTAGCGTCCTTGTTCCTAGTAGTAGGGCCAGGAGCCCCTAGTAGCGTCCAAGTGTTCCAAAAGAAGCCAAACATGCACACTGCGCATGCACGCTTCCCATCGTCCACATGCTTCAATCTAGGAACCAAATGAATAGTACGCTATCCTGTGTCCTACCTGGGAGCTAACTTAGCCTTTACTTAAGCAAGAATGGGCTTTTAAAAAAACATAACAAAAATCGAGTAGCTTGAATTTTGCGCAAAACCTGCTGAATCTTCATTAAGAAAAACATCTGGATTCGAAACCAGAGCGATCTCCTCACCTGCGCGGTGAAAGTGAAAGAAATTTGATCCGTGAGCACAGTTTGAGCCTCGATGTGCACAAGGTCAAAGCGGTCTAACTTTGCAACACTTTTAGCTCCTGGCCTTACTACTAGGAACAAGGATGCTACTAGTAGCAAAGGGCATCGCTATTAGGAGCAAGGACGCTACTAGTAGCTCCTGGCCTTACTACTAGGAACAAGGAACAAGGACGCTACTAGTAGCTCCTGGCCTTACATGTAAAAAACGTAGCTTGTTTGAGCCACAATTCCGCTTCTCGCTCAGAAAGCTAAGGCCCTAGCCAGCATGGGAAGTGATTGAAACTTCATCGAAACTGGCGGAACCTCCACGTTTGCACGGTCTTCGCTGTGTGCTTCTGGTTCCACTAAGAACAAGGACGCTACTAGGGGCTCCTGGCATCGCTACTAGGAGCAAGAACGCTAGTAGGTTGGAGGCCATTGCTAGTAGGTTGGAGGCCATCGCTGTGTGATTCGGTTTCCTTGATGTCCTTCAACTGCTTCAACTGCAGAGTGGCTGAGGAACTGGCAAGCACAGATATGGCAGCTGAGGCTTGACCATCAGTCTCAGTTTGGGCCGAAGATAAATGCACAGAAATCAAAAATAATTTCTCAATCAAAGGCTCTGACATAGGAAGAATTCAAGCCCTCCACGTAAGCGAAAGCCTGTGAGGATCACTGATGCGAAAGCGATGCTTCTCGGAGCATGAAAAAACTAAAATCAAAGCATCCCAGCTGAGCCTTGTATGACACACCACGTTGGAGTGCACATTGAGACATCGTGATTGTCTCGTTCATGCCACCTGGCTGCGGACAGAGCCTTTGCAGAGCCTTTACTGCGCTCTGCTACGTTTGCTGCGTTTCTCAAGAGTGGATCTTCAAAGCAGCCGCTGAGCAGCTCGCTGATCACCTCCCCTTGGATGTGACAAAGGGCACTGCCCAAAGAGTAGGTGCCCACCTCAGATTTGACAGGAAGCAGGTGCCCTCAAACAAACTCCTTGTAATTTTGACTTAAATTTGACGATCTTTTGAGGCCATGTGGAGGGCCCAGTCAGTGCTTCGTTGTTTGTACCAAGAGAGCCCTTCGAGGAAGCAAGGAAAGATGTTCGAAGTGCGATATCCCTCCTGCCTTGATGGCATTGGGATCCACCCACTGCTCGTGGATATTGGACACGACCATGGCCCAAACCTCAAGAGCAAAGAACTTGTGAGTTTTTGGCGATGGCCTCCAACCTAATAGCCATCTGCCAAAAAATATAGATCACCATCAGGAAACATGAAACCGCGATTCTGCAAGCTGGCCTTGGCCTGCCGTCTGACTCAGATGGGAGAAGGTGGAGATGTCTAAAACCGAGTCAAACAAAAACGGGTCAAATAGGAATGCAGGATGATGCAGGCACTAAGCTGTCAGCCTTACCCTCGAACTCAGATGCTTGAAACCTAAGCAAAAGCGGAAGAAAAGCCACCACTTTCTGCGCTAGTAACAAGAAGCTAATAGAAACAAGTGCCACGCTACTAGGAACAGGTGCCTTACTAGTAGTAACAAGAAGCTATTAGAATTAACAGCGGAGAAAATGGCTGTCGCTGTGTCGCTGTGGGGTCTTCCCCGCTCAATCCCCGCTCAGCCAGGAGTCGGAACGGTCCGCGGTCGGTCTCGGAGCGATCGGACGCTACGAGTGGGGCTGGCCTTACTAGTAACCAGGTTTGCTAGAAACAAGTGCATCGCTACTAGTAACAAGTGCCTTACTAGTAGTAACAATGTTTGCCACTAGAAACAACAATTTTAATTAGAATTTTATTAGAATTGATCAATTGTGGCCGGGAAGCATCAGTTGAAAGCCGTCAGGAGATACCAGGTCGTCCACCACGCTTGGTTCCACCACAAAGGTGTTTGTGTACGGAACTGCAAACCTCAGGTTTTGGGAGCAATAAAACAAGCAGCTGACACTCTGGAAGAAATCAAGTATGTTTGGAGGGGTGTACGTTCTGCATCACTTGTAGGTTGGAGGCCATTGCTTTTAGGTATCCTCTGAGCATCCAGCACCACTGCTGGCGCCAGGACCCCATCATCACCATTGGAGACTCCCTCACACGGGACTGACCATGGGATGACAAAGTATAAGCGTTATTGGAAAGGAAAGCGTTCTTGGTAGTAAGATGTACGTACACGAAAAAGAACATGAAGTGTCTGACCAAGACCCTAAATTAGGGCCAAGAAGAATCGAACCATCTATATAATTGTAACTTTGTTTTCATGTGTATGGATAAATCATCATAAATCAAACAAAATTTACTTTAATTTAATTCTAATGGCTTCTTTGTTACTACTAGTAAGGCACCTGTTACTAGAAGCGTGGCACTTGTGTTTTTGTTGTTTCTCTGAACCGTTGACACGGAGACGACAGCCACTGTCCCACCTCGACGTATGCGAAGAGCCGATACATGTCACCACCTGAGAGACCGGCACCGCGGCTGTTCTCGTGGGTGGGACGGTCGAAGTGTGTCGTTCCGACCCCTTCCCACCCCCTTCCTACACCCTCTCAACTGCCAGTGTTGCTACTTACCACCCTCTCATGGCGTAGTCTACCACGCCTCACCAAGAGAATGAAACAAAGAAAAACCAACGCATGTCCTTGGGCCAAGACCTTTCAAATTGCAGCCTGTCAAAGTGATGCTTTGAGTCTGGTCGTTGATGACATAGTTCCTGGTTCATTGTCAACGTGAGACATGTCACTGACACATCGCCACATCGTCACATGTGAAGGGAAGAAACCAAGGGAAAAAAGGGTCTAAAGGTTGTCTAAAGAACTTGATGTTGACAGAAAAAAAAACTTAATGCCTAGAACTCTCACATCTAACCATGCATTAGCAGCGACGCAAATAGTCTTGGTGCTCACAGCTTAGAGAGGCTGGAGACAAAAAATAAGTTCACACTCTAACCTGTGGACACAAGAGGTTTCGGAAAGAGGTGAATTGACTTCAAATAGATTTTGACATGTCAATGGCTTGAAAGGGAGAAAGTAGGTTGGAGGCCATCGCTATTAGGTTAGGCCATCGCTACTAGGGTGGAGGCCATCGCTATAGTAGGTTGGAGGCCATCGCTAGTAGGGTGGAGGCCATTCCGTTTAGGTTGGAGTGCAAGCTAAGCATGAAAGAAAGGAGTTTTCGCTGCACAAAGAGTAGTCTTCAGGCCCCGCCAGCGACTGCAAAGTGCATCACGTAGAAACTTCATTGACCTGCCCAAGGGGTGGGCAGCCGGTGGGAACACGATGTTTGACCCCACGTAAGGAGGTGCGCGTCTCGGTCTGTGGTTCTTTTTATTTGAGAGAGCATACAAACCTACTAGCGATGGCCTCCAACCTAGTAGCAATGGAGAGCACAAAGACTGAACAAGTTGAACAGTTCTGCTGAAAAACGCTACGTTAGGTGGTGTATTCCACACCCTCTAGCTGACTCTACTCGCTCCACGCCACCTGACAGTCATGCAGTCGCCCACATGGTTTGGAACCACCTCAGCTACAGGAAGACTTGTAAAAGATACAATTCACTCTTGACCTATAGCAAAGGCTCTTGGCTGCACCTTACATATGACTTGAGGATTTAAGAATATATGTCTTGCATATCATTATCCCTTACTACTAAAAAAATGAACATCATGAAAATAGTCCTTCTTTGGAACTTGGATCGCATGCCATAGCCCACAAGCGTCCATCTGGATTGTTGGCCTTGGCAGAGTTTTGGAAGAGATTTGAGCAGTTGAGCAAGGCCCTTGGTGCTCTAGTCAAGCAAAAGAGTTGGGTAGAGGTGTGGCCCGGTGTGGCGTTATTGACGTTCTCTGTGAAAATCTCGTCTGTCAAGGGTCGGAAGCTAAAGGAAACAACTTCGGACGCTTGGACGGCAGAAGCTGCAGCGAACGCTTCTGCCGGTGACAGGATCAGATGGCTTCCAACCTACTAGCCGCCTCCAACCTACTAGCTGCCTCCAGAAGCAAGATGAAGCAAGCTTCTTTCGATTGTGTTGTGTGAAAGAACATCTAGCCAGCCTACCTCTACCTCGATAGAACTATGGTTTCAAACCACGACGTCGTGGACAACGATGTACTTCCTGAAAGCAGATTTCGTGGCAATTGCCATACAATCGTGCTCTCTGACTTTGGTTTGCATGGTAATTGCCACATATCCATTCCTGTTTCGGCTCATCTCAACACAGTTTGGGGTCTCTTGCTGGGAGAATCGTGTTTTGTTTTGAGAAGTGTTGCCAGTGCTGCGTTCTTTAAACTTCTTCAAGGAAGCTCCCCTCCGCCGCCTTTAGGGCAGGGGAGCTTCCTTGAAGAAGCTAGTAGCAGGTTGCCCGGCTACCCCTTAATTAAGTAGGCACCTACTTAACCAAGTAAGAGTGGACCCCCCCCAAAAAAAAACAGATCGGAATCTGTTGGCGCTCAGCCTCAGCCAGCCCAGGGACCGGAGTGACATCGCTGAGCTTCTGACGGAGAAAGTGAAAGTGATGCCATCGCTGCTGGCCTCCGAACGTCATGTGACACCAACTGGGAGCAGCGATGTCTCTCGTTGTAACAAAGGGCATTACTGGTAGTGCTACTCGGACGCTACGATCGGAACTCCTGGCATTGCTACTAGGAACAAGAAGCTATACTAGTAGCTCCTCTCTCCTAGTAACAAGGGCATCGCTACTAGTAACAAGAAGCTAAGCAAAGTAAGTGGTCGACGGTCATGGTCGCACTTGTTGGTACAACTCAAACTACTAGTTTATGACTAAGGCAACGAAGCAAGAGCCAGGGCTCCTCATGCAAGCTGCCGTATACTCAAGGATTCGGAGATTTTGACTTAAGCGGCCGTACGTTTCGAGAGAAGCGTCGCTCTTCGGCCGAAAGGATTCGGGCATCGGGTCCCTATGAGCAGAGTCTGAGACTGTTTCGACCATTTCATTGGTACATTCTGTTTCTCGCGAGGACCGGAGGACCACCGGGAGGCTCAGAACCAGGCCAGAGCTCCATCGATCATCACGAGCTTGGGATATGCGCTGAAGGTATTGGTCGTTCCTTAGCACTGGAGACCCGCGCAGGGTTTCTTTACGACGACGGACGGACGGTTTGCTGTGAGACGACGAGAGGCAGCGTTGGAGTGTGAATGCACTGAGAGGTTGACGATGGTTGACGACTACTCTTTTTTTAAAGTCATTTTGGAGCAATTTATCGTGCTTCGGCTTCGTGCTGCCGGTCCGATCGAAATTCAGGCACGGACCATTGGTGGGCACCATGACATCAATGCCTGGTCCAATCCTTCCGTCGTTGTCTGCGCCGCCATCTTCAATGTACACCATGGCCTCGTTGACAAAAACGACGATGAATCGAAGGCCGATGTAAACAAGAAATAGATTGTGACATGGATTCACTTCGCGGTTCACTTGTTTTATGCACTCAACATCTGGTAAAAAGTAAAAGTGAAGACATGTCATTAAAGAACATTGTCAGTGGCAAGTCTGCGGAGAGCAAGTGCAAATGGCCTTGTATAGGACATCCAGAGCAAGTACGCAGCTGTCAATAGTGAAGGATTGGAGTCCACCCACAATGGCCAAACCTTGAGCATCACACATGACAAGCGAGGCCATCGCTCGTAGGCTGGAGGCCATCGTACGTATCGTACATTTAGCAACTCTTTTGGAGGAAAACAACTGAAAGGAAACTCGAGCCCTGTATGAAGAAGAAGACACACTAATAAACATCCATAAACACTCTGCATGCAAACTCAATGTGTCAGCTCTTCCAAAAGCTTAGCTGCTTGATAGTTCCGCAAAAATGCTCCAAACTCTGCCCTCAACTTGGGGCTCCAGCTGGCCCTGCTGCAAAGCGCGTTGGTTCCTGCTTTGATGCCCGCCACAGTTGCGGAGATGGCCAGGGTCTCAGGGATCACCACACCCCAAACCATGCCAGTGGCCTCACGCCGAGGAAGCAGAGCAGGTCACACCGGTCACATCGCAAGAGAACAAGGCCACGGAGACCGTTTTCTGCTTTTTGGGGGCAGCATGTTTGCCCAAGATTTATACTTTCAACATCTTTCAACTATCTGGATGCGATGTCTTTCTGGCCTTAGACCTCCGGGAGTAAACCGATTCATCTACTTATTGGTTCATCCATGATTCTAATGGCTATCTTCATCGGTGACAGGCAAACCGGGAGCCCACACCTCGCGGGGCTCAAACTCGATAGACACCGTGATGGTGCTTGGCCTGAGACTGTCTGCTCCGTGAGACTTGAGAAACGCGCATCGACGAGTAAGGCCGATGCCGAGAGTCGAGAGTCGGCATGTAAAGCAACGACCAAACACGAGCAAATCAGATCGGTTTGGAAGGGCCACATGGGTCAATCTCTTTGTTAGATCAACGTGTCAGTCTTGGGGAAGAAAATGGTCCAGGTATAGTGTTCGACCAATTTCTGTGGGTTGGGCACCTCTGGAAGCGATGCTTGGGCCGCTCTGGAAGTGCTCTGACTCAAGCTATGGCCCCACACGTGGCATCGAGTCTGGGATAAGGGTAGACTCCTGGAGCAACAGCCGGCAACAGCAAGGAATGCGCAAGCTGACAGCAGGTAAAGATTGTGAAAACAAGACCTGAGCGGAGAAGACAGCAGCTGACAGCAGGGAAGAACACAAAAACAATCTGTTCGTATCTTTTCCCAAATCTGCTCAGTTCGCATCAACCGAATCAATGCCTCAGAAGACCGTCGGAGATCCCGTCAGAAAAAAAACACCGGCCTGTGAAGTCATTGGATGGTGGAACATGCAATTGGATCGGTTCCGCAAGGACGCCATCATCTCGCAGGTGCCCATCCTTTCCAACGGGTGCGACGGGTTGAGCTTGAGCTTAAAGTATCTGTCTGCTAGTTACGAAGGTGCCGCTAGTAGGTGGCCATCGCTACTAGTAACAAGAAGCTATGGTAGAAATGAAAAAAACACAAGAAATGAAGAGAACCCCCCCCCAAAAAAAAAAAAAACGTTTGGACGAATTGAAGCCATTGGAAACAGACGGCACGTCCACGTCTGCGCGTCTGCACGTCCCTCCGCTCGATCGGCTCCTCGATGTACACGAACAGACGATATTCAGCATTGCCATACAGCCGACACCCGGTCAGAACGACCTCGGACACGCTTGGTCGGCCGGGTTTTCATATCAGCGGACATCAGTCCTACGTCATTCCGTGCAAAACACAAATGCACCTGGTTCCATACGACTCGAAATCAACCCGTACTCCGTACTCCTCATGGCCCTCTTGCCCGTACTCCTCACAAGCTTAGCTCATCGGACCGGGAAAACAACACTTCGGTAGCGGTCGCATCATCGGATGCGGTGCAGCTTTTCCCAGTGCTGTCGGAGTTGGTGCAAGTGATAGCTTGGGGCTTGGGGTCGATTTTTGGTGGAGGCAGCTTCAATTCCAGTACATGTGTACGAAACAATGTCTGCGTCCTACTCTGTCGCTTCAAATCCTTTCGTGCTTTAAGTGTCTTCATTCTGCGTGCATGCGAGGCAATGACACTGCTGGCCATATTGTTCACGAAGCCATTCCATTTGCCTCACAAATTGCTTTCATGGAATATGCCTCTAGCCACACAGCTTTGCAACAAGAGAACTGTTCAGTTCTCTTTGAAGGACACTGCTTTTGTTCCAAAAGCCACCGCCAAGTCGAACTGAAAAAACCAAGGCGAAGACGAAAAAGAAGGTCGTCTTGGCGCAAGCGGTGTTACACCGTTGTACCGTTACAACGTTAAAGCCTCGATGGCTTTTCCTGGTTCTTCAGGTGTAGTGCTTGCCGAGGTGCAAGTAGCATCACCCACGGCGCTCATAAATGCCTGTGCCCGGTTCGTCAGGCAGAAAGGGAAAGAAGACTAAACAAATGGCTGATGCCAATGTACATCGAAGTTGGTTGTTGGCTTTACAGCCCAACTAAAGAACATCATCGTTGCTTGGAAGAGGTCTGATTGTAGTCTCATGGTCTCTTGTTGCTACTAGATGGGACCGGACCAAGCACGCACTGGCCTTGATGTTCTCTACAGTGAGCGTGGCGTAGTCTGCCTCTGCAGCAATCATCACGTAGCCCCAACCTTCAAGCTGGGTGAAGCGACGAGAAGGCTTTGTCAAGTTCAAGGAGTTCTCAGTTCGCGTGTCAAACTCTCTCCAGTTTTGACTGAACCCATTTGAATACTCTTGGAAGTTGACCCTTTCGGAAGCAGACCCTACATTTTGAGACTGTACTGCCACCAGCAAGCTTCAGCGCGGCCTGCAGATGCCCTTGGTGTGAATCTCACTGTGAGCCCATCCTGCCATGACACAATGCTTCTGGAAGAGGCTTCATTCAAAAGCTCAAGATTTTGATTCACTGGACTTCTTAGAAATGATTGACATCTTTGCAGCAAGGATTCCATTGAGCAGCATGCTCCAGATTTGTGGACAGGTTGAAAACTGCACAAAATGCAAGTCCATAAAAGAGAGGGCTCGACAAAAGCCTTGCTTGTTGCAAGGGGAAAGGGATAGGAGGATAGGAAAACCGAATGCTCAGCTACAAAAACATCGAAAACATGACGAAGAAAACGGAAGACGGAAGAACATGAAAATATCAAAAAAGAAAAACAAATGCCATCGCTAGTAGGTTGAAGGCCATCGCTATTAGGCTGGAGGCCATTGCTATAAGAAACAATGAAAAAGAAAGTGAAGAAATGTCTAATATTGTTTGCTATTAGGTTGGAGGCCATTGCTATTAGGTTGGACGCCATCGCTTCTAGGTTGGAGGCCATTGCTAGAAGAAACAAAGAAAAAGAAAGGAAGAAAGGTCCAATATAGTTTGCTACTAGGTTGGAGGCCATCGCTCCTAGGTTGGAGGCCATTGCTATTAGGCCTTTAAGCAATAATGTTCTGACAATATGGATTGCTGACCTGCCGCTCTACCAACAGAGTTGGCTGGTTGTCTCTTAGGAAGTGAAAGCAAAGAATCGCTTCAAAGCTTAGCCTAACTGGCCAAAGCTCTCACTCTCTTGCAGAAAGGCCTTCGTAAGACTCGAATTGCTTGGCTGCACCTTCCAAAATCTGCAGACTCTGAAGTAGCATCCGGCTGCGTTTTTCTTCTTTTTTCGGGCAGGTAGGCCGCTAGTAGAGGTAGCTAGGTAGCTAGAGGTCGGTAGCTAGTAGTTGCGAACGGTAGCCAGTACCTGCAAGTAAGGGGGAAGCTTCCTTGAAGAAGCGCTCGCACTAATGATGTGGTTCCTAGATTTTTAGAGAAACTTAAGCTACTAGTAACAAGTGCATCGCTAGTAGTAACAAGTGCCTTACTAGTAACTAGTAGTAACAAGAAGCTACTAGTAACAATAAGCTACTAGATTTTTAGGGAAACTTAAGGCAGTAGCATTCGAGTCCTCTTCCATCCTCTTCTGCTTTGTATGTTTGCCGAGTATCCAGGTGTGCTGAATTCTTCGGACTAAGTCCTTGACAGCAAACGAGTTCGAGGACGCAGGAACTTGGAAACGCATGGGTCCATATAGGGCACCATCCTCAGTTCAGGCCACTGAAGAGAAATTAGAAAAAACCAGAAAGGGACCCACACAAAAAGGGATCAAAGCCAAGGTCCAAAAGACCCCACCCAAAGACACAAAAGTCGTAAGTCAGGTCTAATATAGTTTGCTATTAGGTTGGAGGCCATCGCAATTAGGTTGAAGGAGGCCATCGCTAGTAGGCTGGAGGCCATCGCTAGTAGGTTGGAGGCCATTGCCTTTAGGTTGGAGGCCATCACTATTAGGTTGGAGGCCATGGCTAGGAGGTTGGAGGCCATCGCTATTAAGTTGGAGGCCATCGCTATTGGGTTGGAGGCCATGGCTAGTAGGGGTGGACGCCATCGCTATTAGGTTGGAAGCCATCGCTGGTAGGTTGGAGGCCATTGCTAGTAGAAACAAAGAAAATGGAAAGGAAGAAAGGCCAAAAGGCCGAGATATTCCAGAAAGGCCGGTCTTTTCAAACTCAGCTTCTCACATTGTCCAGACCGCCAAAGGCTTCCACGTACACGAAAACAGAGTACCTCGCATGTCAGTTTGCACCTACGAAACACGGAACAGGATTTCGGTCGCACCAACGTAAGCCAACCATGCCGCAACCATGCATCAACATCCTCAGTCAGCCACGATGTCAAACAACACATTTGATGTGTTGCCCTCTGCGTTTGATATGGTCAAGTGTCCAATGCACCCTTTTTGCATCCCGTTTGCATCCTTCCTGTAAGGCCTTACCCAACCAAACATACCCAACTGTGGTTTCTTCTCTTGCATCCTTAGGGAGACACTCCACTGGCGTAGCTGCAGTGATAGGCACAGCGATCCCCCTGCAGGACCTCTGTCAGAACCGGCCACGATGTGCAGAGGCGGTCTTTTTAAGGAGCGTTTCTTTTTCTGCTTGCCACCAGGGCTTTCGATTTGGAATTTCAAACACTTCTTGGAATAAATATATAATATAACCTCATTTTGCGTACACACATTCACATGCATTCAAAAGGCCGGCTGAAATCTGTTTGACTGACAAGAATGCAACCATCTAAAAGATTCTTTTGAAGACCACTTCAGCATATTATCTGGGATTTAAACATTGAGAAAACCAAAATAGTTTGCTATTAGGTTGGAGGCCATCGCTATTAGGTTACAGGCCATTGCTGGTAGGTCGGAGGCCATCGCAATTAGGTTGGAGCCCATCGCTATTAGGTTGGAGGCCATCCCTATTAGGTTGGAAACCATCGCTAGTAGGTTGGAGGCCATAGCTAGTTTGTTGGAGGCCATCGCTATTGGGGTCAAGGCCATTGCTAGTAGGTTCGAGGCCATCGCTAGGAGGTTGGAGGCCATCGCTAGTAGGTTGGAGGCCATCGCTAGTAGGTTGGAGGCCATCGCTAGTAGGTTGGAGGCCATCGCTAGTAGGTTGGAAGCCATCGCTAGTCGTTTTTCTTTTTAGAACATGCCAGGGAACCAAGTGAGTGTACAAAAGTCACCCTCTAGCAAAATACATTTTCTAGGGGACCCTGCATTTCCTAGTGAAATTTTGAACTTAATTCCAATTCTAATTTAAGTCCAATTTGATTTAATTCTATTTCTATTTTAATTCCAATTCAATTTTGATTCAATTTAATTCTAACTCAATTTAATCCTACTTCTAATTTAATTCATTTTTTCTGCATTCTTTTTTAAACCTGAGAAAGGAGGGACGAAGGCCAGCCCCTCAAGGTTACGTGTCCGCCCAAAACAATCACGACGTGTCCATTCCAGTACCCGGCCCCGCATTTATGACTGTCAGTGAATTCGCACGCGAAGGTCTTGGGGTGAGCGCATTTTTGGTGTTCCGCTGCTCCGTTTTACTGCATGTGTGCGCCGACCAGGAACAGCATGGAACATTCGAAGACGCAAAGCAACCAAAAGCAAAAGACGAGCTACGGAAGGAGGCCCTTGTTCTGCTCGCGGCCTATTTAAACAAAGGCTGCAAGGACCCTGGATGAGCGCACCTTGACTTAAATTAAAAGTGCCATTGGCCAGTACAAATGGTATTATGCTTCATGATGAACGAACATCTTGGTCGAGGCATGGCATTGCCGCTCTGTCCCAGTGTCCTTAACATCGCTCGGCAGCGACCAGCTTGCACTATGGATGCATGAGTTTGACGAGGCTGCACCCCTGATGAAATCGTTGGCCAAACGGCCAGTGGACCCTTCTTCCTGCTTCTTTCCTTCTTTTTCGTTCTTTTCTCCTTCTTCCTGTCTCTTCCTTCTTCTTGTCTATTCCTGCTTCCTCCTCTAAAGCTAAATGTAGTAAAAAGATACGAATAAGCAGCAAACACTCACAACGTGTCAATTCCAGTGCCGAACTTTCCTGCATCTTACATGACCCTTCTTCTACCTTCTTTCCCTCTTCCTCGTTCTTTTACCTTTCTTCTTCTTCTTCTTGCTTGTTCCTTCCTTATATTGCATCCTTTACGTCATGGCAGCCCTTCTTCACCCATGCCATTGCATCCTTTACATCATGACAGCTCCCCTCTGATTGCATCACTTGCATCCACAGCCTCCTCAAAACGTACAAGTTTCCTCAATTTTTGTCCACCCACTTTTGGCCAGCTTTCCCCAATAAATTCTGAGCCCCTCCCCCCAGACCCCCAAATACTCACTTCGTTCGCTATTCAGATCTTCAGTCTGGCCTACGGCTGGCTTTCGTAACAAAATGTGAATGTCATCAGGGATGCTATTAGGGAGGCATCTTGAAGACCCTGTCAGGCGTCGGAGAAGGACCCTTTCTGCCGAGAGACGCTCGTCCGACGGCGTCGTCGCCCGTCTTCACCTGGCGGCGAACATGGCGGGCATCGCGGCACATGGGTCGTTTCTTGGAGAACATTCGATTGTGGTAGTGAAGTTCAGGGGGTAGAGAGTTCCGTCTCCCTAAGAGCAAGGACCAGGAGGAAACACACAAGAGTGCCGCTTAAAGTTCCAAAATTCCGTCCTGTTCTCCTCTGGAATATTCTGAGAAACTGCGAAAAGAACAAGAATAGCTCGGAAAAAAGAGGGGCACACAGAGGCGTGCGGCAGAAAGGCATTCTAAGCAGAACAGCAAGCAAGCGAAGAAGGCCAGCGACACAAAAAAAACTGAAGGCAACGAAGCAGCTGGGTGGAAAACCAATCCATCAAAATATAGACATCAATCCGATACAAATACGAGCCCCCGTATAACAGCAGCACTTCTCCGGTTGGATGTAGGTGGTCCCTTTAGTGTAGGACAGGGAAACATATCTGAGTCTCACCCCATGAATCTGCATGACTTTAATTGCGTGAAGGTTGGGCTCATGCTCAAGTATCTTCAGAGCGAAGGCATAGTGTTGAAAGGAAAAAACATTGCAAAAGCAGCATCTTGCCATCTCGCCAAAGTTAAATGCGATGCATATATAGAGGTTCCAATCCGGATGTGGATCGAAATGTTTACAGCCCCACAAGCAATAAGCTACTAGGAACAAGTGCCTCGCTACTAGTAACAAGTGCCTTGCTAGTAGTAACAAGGACGCTACTAGTAACAAGAAGCTACTAGGAACAAGTGCCACGCTACTAGGAGCAAGAAGCTACTAGGGGCTCCTGGCCCTACTACTAGGAACAAGTGCCACGCTAGTAGTAACAAGTGCCTTACTAGTAGTAACAAGAAGCTACTAGGAACAAGTGCCTTACTAGTAGTAACAAGAAGCTATTAGGAACAAGTGC